TTCTGATAGTAGAAATTGAAGAAGGGAAAGAGCTGCGTGGTCTTCCGTATCAAACCAGAACCCAGCACTAGAGCCATGATTAAGGTTAAGTGAAGAGGTTCCCACTGATTTTCTCGAGGGAACTCTGGATTCAGTGGCTCCTTTTTGTGCTCCAACTGAGGTCTGATGCAAGATTTATATGCAGTAACTTCACCAGATGCTGGTCAGTCTGAATGGTCAGTGAAATCCAAACAGAAAAAAACAAAGACAACTCACTACCTTATATTTGAATCTTCCCACGAAGTTTAATTTTCAACACATGCATGTTTACGCCGTTATTGTATAGTACCAAGTTGCAGAGGATTACGTTAATTACTAATTTTTAAACAAACATGCGCCGATTAGCACTCTAACAACCTCTATTATTTGCCACGTAGCTGATTTATTCAGGTAGAAAACAAATAAATATATAACACCTCATTTTAATTAGCTGAGGTGGACCATTAACTCCATCATTTTATCTTAGAAACTTGACTAATTAATTAGACGAGGTAGCGGTCAACCATTGAAAATTCTAGGAGGAGGAAAGTGTCATGAAACGCCCTTACTGCAGATCAATAATCTAATAATTGAAACCATTTAGGTGGTGAACATGTGGTAAGGACTTGAGATTAAGGGGTTTATTTCTTTTGTGGTCTCAGGTTCGAGTCCTTGGTTGCTCATATGATGGCTACTGGAGGCTTACATGGTCGTTAACTTCAGGGCCCGTAGGATTAGTCGTGGTGCGCGCAAGCTGGCCCGAACACCCACATTAATCTAAAAAAAAAAAATCTAATAATTGAATGTACAATATATTCAAGAAAGGGTGTCCAAAGAGCTAGCACTCGTTAAGAATCCGAACTTCGTCAACGGACTGCTTAAAACAAAAACAAAAATGTTCGGGAAAATTAAAAAATAAAACCTCCAATCTTTTCATTTAAAATAAATAAATAAATAAATTGCAAGTGAAAAACAACCATTATCATTGAAAGTTGCAACGCGCATCAAAGACTAAATTTAAGATCAAATGTTCATAACAATGCTCTATGAGACTTATTACTCAGACCCAAAAACATTCTTTTTGACAAAAGTCATTAATAATAGCAAGATCAACGAACATTGTCACAGCCTTCTGAAGGTAGTAATTGAAGGAAGCAAAAAGTTGCATGATTAGCGTTTGGTATGCTGTACAGTATTAATAATATTGTGCTGAATTGAATAAATAATTGTTTTATTTTGTGTTTGGTGTATATTGGATGGGTTGGATGATCAATCTTGTTTCGTTTTGTGTTTGGTAGGCATTTAAAAAATAGAAACTATTGTAATGGCAATAATATTGTTTTCTTGTCTTATCTAACGTTTAAAGTATAGATTATAACATATATTGTTTTCTAAATTGAAATCTAAAAAAAATACTCATATATAAGGTCAAAGTTAAATATAAATAAAAAATTTATTTTACATTTAACGTGTATTATTATCAAACTTATATACTTTTTTAAAAATAATTAAATATTATTTTTTTCACTTCAGTTTATATTAAGTGTTGAAATTAATAATATTATAATAACTGTAATTATAAAACTCGGAAAGAACTAGCAAGTTCACCCGAGACCTGACAGTCATAGTGTTTGGACCAATTCAAGTTTAAAAAGAAATAGAAAAAGGGTTTATTAGACTTGACTCAATCAACCCGAGATAAAACACGGGTAAAAAATTCATTGACTTAATTATTTTGGTCATCATAAGGTTGCTTTGATTCTTTATTAAAAAAAATAGGTCAACTAGAGTTGACCCTTCAACCCATGATCTAAGTGTTGCCTCAAGTAACCATTTTTATCTTTATCTTGACCTGAGTTGACTCTCCTGAATCTGATTTGGATGTTATCATAAAAGTTTTTATTGTTCAGTCTTATGCTATCGAGCATAGTTTTTAACTCGAATGTTGGATCAAGATGAATTTTTTTATAGACATATCTAAACATGTTGTTCTATATTAAGTTACAATTTCAGGTCAATCAGAATTTGATAAATGATTATTTCAAATAATCAAAATTACTAAACGAATCTTATCAAATATATCTATATGGACCTTCATCTACTTTTTAGACTACATCTATATCTATATCAAGAATTATTTTAATATTCCAATTGGGTTGGAAAATAGATATTTGTAGCTTTTCATCAATATATGGTGGGCTTGTTAATTTATCTAGACAAGAAGTAATAATATTTTTAAAATCAGGATTGAAATCTATCAAAAATGAAATCTATCAAAAATGCACGAGACTTGAAGAAATATTATTACCTTGTGTATTATAGATTCCAATCACTACAATGATTTCTTAATGTTCTTGAAAAAAATGTGTTAGATATTGTCTTACCTACAATGATTTCTTAATGTTCTTGAAAAAAATGTGTTAGATATTGTCTTACCTATTCTACAAGTATTTCATGTCTAATAATGAGATATTTGTAGTAACAACTAATTACAAGGCTTCAATATTTATTATGGAATGTATATGATAGCAAACAGAATTAGAATTTTTTTTTTGTTCTTTTCCTTATTAAAAATGAAGATTATGAGAGGTTATTTAAAAGATATATTTCAATCACTTTTTTTTTTTAGAGCATATTTTTCAGCTAAACAATGAATGAAATTTCAAATACAGTAAAAGAATTAATGGATGGCACAAAAGACACTCATTGTTCTACGTTATTTTGAAAAAAATATTATGTATGCAACTTTTCCCTTCAGTGGATACATTTTTCTTTCTTCTATTTTTTTTATCTCAAAGATCAATTTCTTCTTACCAAGAATAAATAATTTTAAAATATTTGCATATGATTAGTACTTAAAAGTGTATTTTTATCATGATTTTATATCATCATTTTGCACTTTAAGTATCAATAACTCCTTAACTAAAGCATGTTTTATAATAATATATCTAATAATATAAGATACCTTTAATTTGTGGTAAATGTTCATTTTAAATGCAGGCCTATCACATAAATGAAAGGATTGATTGATGAATTTAAGAACTGAAATTGAAAAGACAAAGAGATGGCCAAACTTAGAAAAAATATGTCAGTGCAATCAAAACCGGAACACTGTTCGATAATTGGGTCATATCTGGAGTTGTAGATCTCAGATTTAGGTCCAATTTAGATGGATGGAAAGGTAAGACATAGGCCTACAACTTTCATATGGAACCCAAGATCTAAAAAGGCCATTTTCAAGTCCAAATTATAGCAACAACAAAGAAGCCCGAATCTGTCTTCCAGCCCGAGCACTGTTCGGTATTTTGGCCATATCTGGAGTTCTAGAAGTCCAAATGAGCTGAAGTTTTTACACAAGAAAGCTGAGACAATTGCCTACAACTTTCATGTTTGCAACTGGCTCCAATTTTGACGTTATCAATGACGTTTTGGGCAGACAAGAGAAGATAAGGATTATCACCAAGTCAAAAGTTGGCCACCCACTTATCAATTAGTCATCAAATCAATAGTTCCCAATTTTGGCCTATAAAAGGAGGCATTTGCCATGCATTTAGGCATCTTGGTGTTCAGATCAAGATCATGCTCTTCCTTTCTCTCTTTGTATTTTTTATGCTTTGTTTTCATTAATATTAAGTTTATGCCTTTCATTTCCTTTCCTTTACTTAGTTAACTTTTATGTTCTTATTTTGTTTATCTATTTTGCTTTCTTTCATTATGTCTAGCTAAGTTAATTATGTCAAGGTGAAAAGGTTACACTAATGGTGTAAGAATAAGTATAATGTAAACTTAATATGGACTTTAATGTTTGATACTAACATGTTTTATATTTGTTATCTTGTTCACTCTTTAATACTTTGCTTGTTAAATGACTAATCTTGATTTATGTTGTATAACACTTGGTACAACAAATGCTTGGCACTTTCATAGCCCATAATGTATGGTATAACCGACACCTGAGCTATGAAAGGAACTTGATTTATTGTTAACATAAGTTATAATCATGAATGCTTGACGAGATTTACAAGTATTAGCATTAATTGAATAAGATGACTAATGTAATCATGTTAACAATATATAATCTGATTGGAACCTCCTTTGTGTGTGGTTTCCAATTCAATAATAAGAGTTTATACTATACTTTATTTTTAAAAATAAATCTTATTTATATAAAAAGAACTATACATCAATCATAATAATCTATTCAAAATATTAAATGCATACAAAATAATTTAAAAAATCACTATTTAGAAAAAAGTTAAATAAACAATCTAAAAAATTAGAGAGACGGGGTATTAATTTAAATATAAATAAAAAATATTTTAAAAAAATAAATATTCAAAAATATATATATATAAAAAAAGTTAGATATTATTAGGCCAGGTAAGCTAGATCTAAATCCTTTGCTCGTTTTAAAAAGGGCACTCACATAGGCCTACAAGGTTAAACTCATATACAAGTATATTTTTTTTTTGTTAATGATTCTGACGATATGCTTTCGATTCTAAAATGTTTTTAGACGCAAGCAATGTTATGTTTACTTTTTTCTAGGTTATAGTCATAGTAGTGGTGGAAAAATAAAAAAGAATTGATGATTTTTAGATCTAAAAACCCATTTTAACATATTTTTGGCTCAAAAATATTTGTAAAACACCTTAAACACGTTAATAAACACGTATATAGCCTTAAACAACCAAAAAATCAACTAAGAAAACAAAATCAAATAAAAATAAATAAAAAATTCTTTTCATTGAATGGAACTCAATGACATAAAAATTAATATTTTTTGTGGAAAAAATTAATATTAATCAAGATTTTTTTTCTTTGCCAATAGAATCCAACTAATTTTTTTCATTTATCTCAAATCAACTAAAAAGTAAAAAATAAATAAAAATTTGAATTAAAGTTGAGTTTAAAAAAAAAAAATAAGACATATGAAGTACATGGTTTGAAAAGTTTACTAAAAAAAATATTAAGAAAAAAATTACAAAATTATCATTTACAATATAATGAAACAAAAATTACAAAATCATCATTTACAATATAATGAAATACTCTGCTACTAAAAAAATAAAATTAAAAAAGATGAAATTTAAAAATTATTTTAAAAAATCTAACATTTCAGTTGTTTAACTATTAAAATTATAAGAATATTTAAAAAATGCTAAAAAAAAAACATTTTCTTACATGCGGGGTGGGCTTGCCACTGCCACCCCCTTGTCTCGGCCACTGGAAACACTGTTATAGTCTTTGCAATGCTAATAAATTATTCCATTGATACGTTCGAAACGAGGACACCATTGGCATAATAAATTATTATGATTACAATAATATTTACATCCTTGTGAGGAGTTGACCACTCAACACGCGTCCTCCACTTTGGTTTTTTATCCCTCAAATTAGGCACTGTCCAAGACGTGTCAGAGAATGTGCGACTTGACTTTTAAAGAGGAACAGAGAATATATTATTTTTTATTTAAAAATATATTAAAATGAAAAACAGACCAGACAAACGAGGAACTTGAATAGGAGAAATTGGAGGTCCAGGGGGCAGGGTTTTGTCTTTTAAGATTGATTATGGACTGAAAAACGTGGAACTTGAATTGAAGCCCCCCCCCCTCTCGGTTCTCCAGTATTAATAAACCGAACCGATGAAAACCACATTTCTAACACATTTAAAAAAAATTTATTAAAAGTTATTTTTTTTATGATATATTTTAAATTATATTGATATATTAATCTTAAAAATAATTTTTAAAAAATAAAAAAAATATTTTAACATATTTTATTATAAAAAACACTTTAAAAAAACATCAAAAACTTTCCAAATATACTAGAAACCCATTTACAGGGGGGAATCTCATTTTATATATACATAAATAAAAATAAAAAGTTCAGAGCATGGCATGGAAAACTCCTTGAATGATAATGCTGCGAATCCCTCCTGCTCTTGTAAAAGCAAGGCATTTTTAGGCACTGATACTCATCATTACAATACAACTCCTGTACACAGGAAACGCAAAAGCTCAGCTGGCCTGTATTGTAATGGCGCAGAAGGCTGCCTGCCATGCTCGCGTTTCAATTTCCCAAAAAGCAGATAAGTTAGCCTCTGAAAGATGTAACTGGTGTACAGTGCGATGTATCTCCATCATTGCAAAACCACAACTGGATGCTGGAAAAGGAAAATGTTCGGGAAAATTAAAAAATAAAACCTCCAATCTTTTCATTTAAAATAAATAAATAAATAAATTGCAAGTGAAAAACAACCATTATCATTGAAAGTTGCAACGCGCATCAAAGACTAAATTTAAGATCAAATGTTCATAACAATGCTCTATGAGACTTGTTACTCAGAGCCAAAAACATTCTTTTTGACAAAATTCATTAATAATAGCAAGATCAATGAACATTGTCACAGCCTTCTGAAGGTAGTAATTGAAGGAAGCAAAAAGTTGCATGATTAGGGTTTGGTATGCTGTACAGTATTAATAATATTGTGCTGAATTGAATAAATAATTGTTTTATTTTGTGTTTGGTGTATATTGGATGGATTGGATGATCAATCTTGTTTCGTTTTGTGTTTGGTAGGCATTTAAAAAATAGAAACTATTGTAATGACAATAATATTGTTTTCTTGTCTTATCTAACGTTTAAAGTATATATTATAACATATATTGTTTTCTAAATTGAAATTTAAAAGGAAAATACTCATATATAAGGTCAAAGTTAAATATAAATAAAAATTTTATTTTACATTTAACATGTATTATTATCAAACTTATATATTTTTTTAAAAATAATTAAATATTATTTTTTTCACTTCAGTTTATATTGAGTGTGGAAATTAATAATATTATAATAACTCTAATTATAAAACTCGGAAAGACCTAGCAAGTTCACCCGAGACCTGACAGTCATAGTGTTTGGACCAATTCAAGTTTAAAAAGAAATAGAAAAAGGATTTATTAGACTTGACCCAATCAACCCGAGATAAAACACGAGTAAAAAATTCATTGACTTAATTATTTTGGTCATAATAAGGTTGCTTTGATTCTTTATTAAAAAAATAGGTCAACTAGAGTTGACCCTTCAACCCATGACCTAAGTGTTGCCTCAAGTAATCATTTTTATTTTTATCTTGACCTGAGTTGACTCTCCTGAATCTTATTTGGATTTTGTCATAAAAGTTTTTATTGTTCAGTCTTACGCTATCGAGCATAGTTTTTAACTCGAATGTTGGATCAAGATGAATTTTTTTATAGACATATCTAAACATGTTGTTCTATATTAAGTTACAATTTCAAGTCAATCAGAATTTGATAAATGATTATTTTAAATAATCAAAATTAGTCAATCAGAATTTGATAACTGATTATTTCAAATAATCAAAATTACTAAACGAATCTTATCAAATATATCTATATGGACCTTCGTCTACTTTTTAGACTACATCTATATCTATATCAAGAATTATTTTAATATTCCAATTGGGTTGGAAAAATAGATATTTGTAGCTTTTCATCAATATATGGTGGGCTTGTTAATTTATTTGGACAAGAAGTAACAATATTTTTAAAGTCAGGACTGAAATCTATCAAAAATGCACGAGACTTGAAGAAATATTATTACCTTGTGTATTATAGATTCCAATCAATACAATGATTTTTTAATGTTCTTGAAAAAAATATGTGTTAGATATTGTCTTACCTATTCTACAAGTATTCCATGTCTAACAATGAGATATTTGTAGTAACAACTAATTGCAAGGTTTTAATATTTATTATGGAATGTATATGATAGCAAAGAGACTTAGAATTCTTTTATTGTTCTTTTTCTTATTAAAAATGAAGATTTTGGGAGGCTATTTAAAAGATATATTTCAATCA